TGGGTTGTACCTTACTTTTTTCAATTGTAAATTATAATGAAGGTTATTTGCCATCAGCATATAGAAAACTACCACACTAATCTCAAAAGTTTTATGGTACTGCATTCTAAGGCTACATATACCTTTACTTACTTAATCAGATTTTAGAATTTGAAAAACAGATATGCATCCCTGTTTGGCCAGTGATTCTTTAATCACATTGAGATAGAAATTTCAGGACACTAGGAGATAGAAACTAATTAAAGGGTTTCACACAGCCTCTATTCCCTATTAAGTGGATGGAAATTCCAAACTATATCTAAGTATTTCCCACACCTCTTTCAGCTCAGTGCCTGAAAGCTGGAATCATCAGTTCCTCCAGTCCAGAACTGACATAGTTGCCTGGGTGAATAGGGCCATATAACAGCTGAGGGGTTTCCCGTGGTCTTAAGAGAGATCAGACTCCATGAAATAATCTTGGTTACTCTTCCAATGAAAGGAGGAGATATTCTGACCTTTTTTAAAAAAAAAGTAATTTCAAGGCTGTAAGTTTTTCCCCTTAGGGAACAAGGCAAGTGTGCTCTCTCTCATCACTTTATTCAACACTGTACCAGAAATTCTAGCCAATGAAATTAGGCAAGAAAAATAAATAAAATATGTGTAAATTGGGAAGAAGTAAAACTATCTCTATTCGCAGGGGACATAACCTCAGAGTGAACAGAAAATCCTAAAGAATCTACAAAAAAAGTTGTTAGAGCAAATAAATGAATCCAGCAAAGTTTTAGAATGCCAGATGAACACACAAAGCTCAGCTGTATTTTATACTCTAGCAATGAACAACCCAAAAACAAAATTAAAAATTCAATATATTTACAAGAGCATAAAAAAGAATTCAATTTTTAAATAAAATTTAACCAAGGAGGCCAAAACCTGTATATTAAAAACCAAAACCAATGAAACCAAAAAAGAAAAAAGAAAAATTTATTGAAAGAAATTAAAGAAGCACTAAGTCAATGGAAACATATTCCATGGTCACAGAAGACTTTGAAAGGTCACAGACTGGAAGATACTAAGACAGCAGTACTCTCTGGAGAGTTCTTACTCTAAATGAGTGTTGAATTTTGTCAGAAGTTTTTTTCTGCATTTACTGTGATGATCATATGGTTTTCATTCTTCAGTTTGTTGATGTGGTGTATTACACTGATTGATTCATGGATACTGAAAAATTCTTTCACCCCTGGGATAAATCCTGCTTGATTGTGGTGTATGATCCTTTTAATATATTGCTGGATTCTGCTTGCTAGTATTTTGTTGAAACTGTTTACGTCCATGTTTGTCAGTGATATTGGCCTGTAAATTTCTTTCTTTCCTTTTTTTTTTTTGGTGATATCTTTGTATGGTTTTGGTATCAGGGTGATAGTGGCTTCATAGAGTGAGTTTGGGAATGTTCCTTCCTCTGGATTTTTTGGGAAGAGTTTCAGAAGGTTAGGTGTTAACTCTCCACTAAATGTTTGAGAGAATTAACCTATGAAGCCATCTCATCTTAGATTTTTGTTTGTTGGAAGTTTTTAAATTATAGTTTCAATTTCAGTATTTGTTATTGGTCTATTCACATTTTCTATTTCTTCCTGATTCATTCTTGAAAGGATGGACCTTTCTAATAATTTGTCCATTTCTTCTAGGTTGTCCATTTTATTGGCATACAGTTGCTTGTAACAGTCTCTTGCGATCCTTTGAATTCCTGTGGTATCCAGTGTAACTCCTCCTTTTTTGTTTCTAATTGTATTGTTTTGAGCCGCCTCCCTCTTTTTCTTAATGATTAAAGGTTTTAAAAAGAAAGAATGGCAGTAGTACTCCCTAAAGTAATATACAGATTCAATACAATCCATCCCCAAAATCCGTTCAGCCTTTTTTTTTGCAGGAATAAAGATAACCATCCTAAAATTCATATGGAACTTAAAGGGACTCCAAATACCTAAAACAGTCTCAAAAAAGAACAGAGTTAGAGGTCTCACACTTCCTGATTGCAAAACATACTACCAAGCCACAGTAACAGAATACTTCCATGACTCCAGAAGTTTCCTTTTGCCTCCTTGACTGTTAGTTACTCTCTCTAGCCCAATGCAGGCAACCCCTGGCTTGCTTTTTATCATTGCTTAGGATTCTGCCTTGTCTAGGGTTTCATAAATATGAGATCAGTACATAGCCATTTATGTCTGGCTTCTTTCACTTTGCATGATGTTTTCAAGATTCATTCATGCCATTGCGTATATGAGTAGTTCATTCCTCTTGGTTGCTGAATAGTATCCCACAGTATGAATACATTACAATTTTATCCATTTATCAGTTAATGTAAATTTTTGTTATTTCCAGGATTGATTTTTTTTTTTCTTTTTTACAGTTACATTCAGCTGTATCAAATTCTGGATTTCTTTTCATTTATTCTGTTTGCAACTAACCAGAATTCTTGAATCTGTGAATTGGTGATTTTCACCAGTTGTAGAAAACTGTATTTTCATCTGAAATTGCCTCTACTCTACTCTTTCTCCCCTTCCCATCTAAAATTTCATGAGATGTTTGTTAGACCTACTCCTCCTAACCTCCGTGTTTCTAAATCTTTCTTACCTATTATTTTTTTGTCTCTCCATATTGCATCCTGGATAGTTCCTTCAGGTTCTACCTTCTAGTACACAAATTTTCTCTTCTTGACCTGTTCCTAATATTTCTAGGTCCCTGGCTGGATAAGAGTACATCATATTATTACTGATTCATTGATTGCAACAGTAATCATTTTATTTGCAGGCTCAAATATATATTCCATGTGTACATGAAGAAATTTAAGAGGAAATATAGCAATCAGAGGTTTTATTGTTAATTTTCATAACTGCAATAATCCAGCTAATCAAGTTTACAACCATAAACGCTGGTGAAAACTGAGTAAAGACTTACAAATCTTTTTATAATTAAAGACAGTTTCTCACATTTTTTGACAGTGAGGTTACACTACATTTTCAAAATTTAGATTTTGTATTATAGATTTTGCTTAAACCTCTACAAGGCGTTTTTTTCTAATACTGGTATAAATATTTTAGAAATGTTCACCAAATGTGCAGTGTAATACATAGGTTCACCACTTTTTAAAACTAGGCCAATGTGGAATCAAATATCTTAAGATATAACACATACAACATTGTGAGCATTGACCAAACGAGGAGACTACATTAAAGAGAACAGCGGGAAGCTTGTCTCTGAAATCTTGAAGGAAGGCCTCAAAGAGGGAACGCGAAAGACTAGGAAACACTACACGTCCCAGCATGCTTTGCGACGACGGTTGTCCACAACCCCCAGAGTGCCTTGCTCGCCGAATGCCCATTTCCCTCACAGCTGGGGCTTGTAGTTCTCTTTGGAGCCAATCCGTGAGGGTGGCGTTAGTTTAGCCAGCCGCAGGCTATTAGGCTTAGTCTTCCAGTTTCGGCGTAGGGGAAACACTTCGGGTCCTTGGGTGGAGTCTTTGTCTCATCTCTTGGCTACTGCTTTACTCAGGTAAGTTGTAGGGAGGCTACTTCTCCCCGCCGCTGGGGCCTTGCCTTGCTGTCTGGGAGCGACTCGGCTGGGGCGAAGCCGTTTGTCTCTAAGCTCTCGCCGTAGCAGCCGCCGCCCATCCCTCTTTGTGTGCTGGGGGAAGCCGCGGAGCTAGTGGCGGCGGCTGTTGCTGTTGCAGGCGAAGGAGAGGGACGTTACCGGGAAGTTGCTGGCAGGCGGACTCTTCCCCATCCCGCCACCGAACAGGTGGGTGGACTGCCCTTCCGTCCCCTTCTGTCTGCTGTGTCTCGCGTCGCGGCCCTAAGGGCGGCTTGGCCTGCTGACAGTGCCGCCCAGCCCGGCCCGGCCTTGGGAACTAGAGGCGGGGTGGGTCAGGAAGGCTGGGGCCTCGACGAACCCACTCCCTTCTCTCTAGACCCTTCGGAGGGGCCCCGAGAAGCCTTGAGGCTCGTTGGAGGCCACCTCCCCAAGAGGCCCTAGGTGAACCGCGCCCTCTTGGTCCATACCCTGGGGAGAAGTGACTCCTTTACGCCTTGCTCTACCCGGTGTGTATTAGAAAGTACCGAGACGCGGAGATTGTAGCACAAAATTCCTGAGACTTTCTCTTTCTTGGAGTTTTAAGAAAGTGAATGTGTCAGGCATGGAGGCTCCGGCCTCTCGCAGGTTGAGTGGTCCTGTGAGCTGTATGCCATTATTCAATCAGACTTTGTTGTTGGGCTTTCACTCCAAGTGTGTTAGAGTCGCGCAGTCATGTCCTACTCTTTGCGACCCCAACATACTTAAAGTGTGTGTGTGTGTGTGTGTGTGTGTGTGTGTGGTATGTTGTGTGTTATATAGCCTGCCAGGCTTCTCTGTCCGTGGGATTCTCCAGGCAAAACTACTGGAGTGGGTTGCCATTTCCTTTTCCAAAGGGATAGAATCCTGGTCTCCTGCATTGCAGGTATATTCGTTACCGCCTGAGCCGCCAGGGAAGCTCTACCTTTAAGTACAGTTTATAGTTATATTTGTGTTTTGCGTCTCTATAGTATTACTATTGCATGGTAGGTTTAGAATTTATAGGAATTTTCTGTCTGACTGCCTGTTTTATCAGATTTCTAGGAGTGAATGCAAAACTGGTAGCTGATTTGCTATGTCTTAGAGCTTGGCTTTTAATGGCAATCCATGTCCTCTGTTTTAAGAGCCAGAGACATTGTGTTAAATTTGAGCATGTGAACATTAAAGAGTTTACTGAGTGCTAATTACTATGCTCAACTGTGAATATTTCCTATATACATCTGTTTATAATGATTTTCAGGTCTTAGTAGTATATATGCTTCTTTTATTTTAAAAGTAGAGTGTACATGTTCTCATTTGATGACCTTGAACTACATGGCCTTTCAAGACAGTTCTCTTCTTGAAAGACAGAGTTTTAAAAGAGTGCTCCTTTTACCAATTTAATGATGATTGTAAATGATTGTATGCTTCTTAAGGTTGCAAACATGTCTGACAAAAGTGAATTAAAGGCAGAGTTGGAACGTAAGAAGCAGCGGTTGGCTCAAATCAGAGAGGAAAAGAAGAGGAAAGAAGAAGAAAGAAAGAAAAAGGAAGTATGTTTGATTTTTTAAAAGATAAAATAATTGGATTTTAAGTACTTATACCTTTATTGCTTTCAGAATAGTTAAAATTCCAGCAGTTGTGACTGCACATATAGCACTCTAGGTGAAAAGCTCAATATACGTACTTAGTCTTCTAGGAATATGTTTACTGTATAAAGTAAGGGGCATCTGCCTGTAATTACTGATAAAATGTGATATAATCAGAGCTTAGTTTGGACTTTGAGCTTATCTGAATATCTTACCAGTCAGAACTGCTAGTTGTCAGAATAATAGCAAAGAGAAATATAGACTAGATTATTAATTGATTAAGGGATTATTTAATTGATTGTCTCTCCTTTGTCATGAGTTGGTCACTGAAATATTTTTACCAGGTAGTGGGTTTGATACTATCATGAAGGTGGGCTTAGATACTTAGATCTGATTTTTGGCATCACCATTTTATTATGTATGGCAAATATACATTGATCCTGAGCTAGAGATATTTTACTTGCTCCTGTCTTGAAATGTACATTTGTCCCGATGAAAACCGTGTAGACAGATGTGTATATTTTTATCTTCAATGTTTTAAATGGCCAGTGTTAAGATAGTTTGTTCCTAATGTGACATTAGTATGAAGTTTTTCTATGTGATAGCCTGAACCAGGGGCCCTCAACCTCCAGGATCTAACGCCTGGTGATTTGAGGTGGAGCTGATGTAATAATAATAGAAATAAAGTACACAATGAATGTAATGCGCTTGAATCATCCCGAAACCATTCTCCACTCCCTGTCCATGGAAAAATTGTCTTCCACGAAACTTGTCCCTGGTGCCAAAAAGGTTGGGGACCACTGGCCTAAATAATAGCCAAGACTTCTTGGAATCTCTTAGGGAAAAAGAAAAAGCAAAGGTCCAATATATGTGCAGCATTGCTATGATGCTGTAAAGTCCTACAATTGAAGAATTTTCTAGTTTATTCTGAACCTTTTTGTGATCCATTACTGTAAGAGTGTTGGACCTTTAGGTTAGCTATTTGATTAAAAACTGATAGCTATTTGATTAAAAACTGATAGCTATTTGATTAAAAACCATTCCAAACTAGTACCTATAGTCTTAAACCCTTCAGAACTGAGAGCAAATTTGGTATTTGTTTTCTAAACATGGCCATAAGTGGCTGTACAGTATATCTATTAGATGATTTATATCTAATTTAAAGTTTATAAAACATTACAAGAGACATTAAATCAGTGATATTAAACAGTAAGTCTAATCGTTATATATTGATACAGTGTTTACTTGATAATATAGTTTCTTTGGCTATTTTAATGAAATTTTCTGATGACTCTTTTAAGTTAAAATGGTATGATAGAATATTATGACTAAAAAAAGTTCACTGCCAATAATTGTATGAGTAATGGTTGTCTTAGCTGAAATAGACTTTTGAGGTGTATACATAAGACTTTTCCCTTTAAGGCTTAAATTTCCCTTGAGATGTTGAGAGTATTGATTTGAGAGTATTGAGGTTTATAACTGGAAGATTTTGCTAAAACTATAAATGGCTAAAATAAAAGTTGGTAAAAATTTCAGTAATGAAAAGTTTTGTGCTATGCAAGAGTAAATTTTAATTTAACCGAACCATGAAAATAAGACCAATAGTTGATAAAAATAAAACCTTTCTCCAGATGAATTTTTGACAAACATCCTCTACATAAATTTGCATAAGTACAATGAAGACTACATATAGAAGTTTGAGGCACTTGTACTTTTTCAACAAATCAAATTGTTCATTTACTTAAAATTTGTTATGTCTTAAATGATAGTCTTTATTTTTTTTTCATAGCATTTTGATATTTATGTATGTGTGAGATTTCCACAATTCTTGACCATGGATAGCAATTTCATATTATAAATTAATATTATAAATTAAATAGAAATTTTTGAACATATCTGTTCAGAATGTTTTTGTGAGAACTTCTTGATTACATATAAAAATGAATCAATTTAATACATATCATTTGGAGATTTTTACTAAAACTATGAGAATGATTTTCATTTGGTGACTATAATGTGTATTCAAAACTAAGCCCACCTCCATTATCAGAGAAATGCAAATCAAAACCACAATGAGATACCATTATACGCCAGTCAGGATGGCTGCTATCCAAAAGTCTACAAGCAATAAATGCTGGAGAAGGTGTGGAGAAAAGGGAACCCTCTTACACTGTTGGTGGGAATGCAAATTAGTACAGCCACTATGGAAAACAGTGTGGAGATTTCTTAAAAAGCTGGAAATAGAACTGCCATATGACCCAGCAATCCCACTTCTGGGCATACACACCAAGGAAACCAGATCTGAAAGAGACACGTGCACCCCAATGTTCATCACAGCACTGTTTATAATAGCCAGGACATGGAAGCAACCTAGATGCCCATCAGCAGACGAATGGATGAGGAAGCTGTGGTACATATACACCATGGAATATTACTCAGCCATTAAAAAGAATTCATTTGAATCAGTTCTAATGAGATGGATGAAACTGGAGCCCATTATACAGAGCGAAGTAAGCCAGAAAGATAAAGACCATTACAGTATACTAACACATATATATGGAATTTAGAAAGATGGTAACGATAACCCTATATGCAAAACAGAAAAAGAGACTCAGATGTATAGAACAGACTTGTGGACTCTGGGAGAAGGCGAGGGTGGGATGTTTCAAGAGAACAGCATCGAAACATGTATATTATCTAGGGTGAAACAGATCACCTGCCCAGGTTGGGTGCATAAGACAAGTGCTCGGGCCTGGTGCACTGGGAAGACCCAGAGGGATCAGGTGGAGAGGGAGGTGGGAGGGGGGACCGGGATGGGGAATACATGTAAATCCATGGCTAATTCATTTCAATGTATGACAAAAACCACTGCAATGATGTAAAGTAATTAGCCTCCAACTAATAAAACAAATTCACAGACAAAAAAAAATAAAAATTAAAATTAAAAAAAAAAAAACTAAGCCCACCTCCAGATGTATACAGTGTTAGCACATTATTTAAAATGTATGTATTTTTGCAAATAGAAGTGTTTCATACCATATGTAAATTTAAATTTTAACTTAAAAAATTTAGACTGATCAGAAGAAGGAAGCGGTTGCTCCTGTGCAAGAAGAATCAGATCTTGAAAAAAAAAGGAGAGAAGCTGAAGCATTGCTTCAAAGCATGGGTCTAACTGCAGAATCCCCCATTGGTAAGGATAAGATTATATCTGTCAATAAAAGAGAGGCATAGATCTTACTCAGCTCAGATATACATGAGATGAGTGAGTTGGTTTAATGTATTTTATATATCTTTCTTATTTGTGCCTCATAAAGCATTAATTTTATAATTTGTTTGGAATTGACTTTTTCAGATGTATTAATACATTGTTTATTTTGTTTGTTCAGAAGAGCTGCAAGACTATATTTATTAACATAAGCCAGTTGACTTTTCTTGTTAAATCATTAACTTATTTCGGCAGACATTTGTTGAACTAGGTTTCTGTGCCACACTGTATTAAGCTCAATGATGATTGTGATTCCTGATCTTCTTAACTCTATAATCCTTTCTATAAGTTAAAGAGAGGTATAGTGGATCAAAATTCTAAGTGTACTGATGTTCAAAGGTATAGGAGTGGAAGGAGAAGCTTATAACCTTCTGCTATCAGTGCCAATAAGGGAAATAATATTGGTAGCTGATTTTGGCAGCAGTTTGACTTAACCTTGTTGTTTTTCTGGACTCTTCATTTTTATAACAGTACTAGACCAAAATCTGAAATAGTAAAAGTACTGAGGACAATCTTGTTACATACAGACATTAAATGCTTACTTAAAATAATTCTGAACTGGGTGCTGTTACATAGTATTTTAGTTTGATGTGGCTTTTGTCATTTAGCATCCTAAAATTCAGGGTTAGTTTGTGGGCTCATTCCATCTAGTCCAGAGGACAAATAACAGAGGATAGTACCTGCTGTATGCCTATTGTTGGGAACGGCAACATAACAGTCTTTAAGTATTATAACTGTCTTGTTAGAGTTACTATTTCTAAAAAGTTTTAAGGTGAAAAAAGCTGGTTACTTTCATGGTCTGGCTTCATTGTTATTTCTCTCAGCTTATTGTGCTGTGCAGTCACTCAGTTGTGTCCAACTCTTTGCGACCTCATAGATTGTAACCCATCAGGCTCCTCTGTCCATGGGGCTTCTCCAGGCAAGAATACTGGAGTGGGTTGCCCTGCCTTCCTCCAGGGAAATCTTCCCAACCCAGGGATCAAACCCAGGGCTCTCACATTGCAGGCGGATTCTTTATCATCTGAGCCACCAGGGAAGCCCGTGAATCCTGGAGTGGGTAGCCCATCCCTTCTCCAAGGGATCTTCCTGACCTAGGAATCGAACTGGAGTCTCCTGTATTGCAGGTGGTTTCTTTACCAGCTGAGCTACCAGGGAAGCTCTTTCAGCTTATTTGTCTTTTTCTTATTGATAAAATTTGAAGGTTGAAATACTTTAATTTTTATGTCTTTTATTTGGTAAACTTATGTTGCACATTGCAATTTTGAAAGGAAATTAATCAGAACACTTTTATCTTGTTGAAAAAAAAAAAATACCCTAGAACCTAAACCAGGTTGCTTATTTGCTGTATAGGCTTTAAGTGATCATTTTTTTTCTGAGGCTTGGCTTTGGTTTTCTCCTGTAGGATTTTTTTTTTTTTTCCCTTTTCTATTCTCTTTAGGACTTCAGTTTCACTAAATTCACTTGCTTATATTTCTCAATTTATGGCCCACCTCCATCATCTATTCTTGAATGTTCTTTAGTTGTATGTGTGTTTCTCCTTCATTACCCCTCTCCAATTTCATTCTCCTTCACAGTCTTGCATTAAGTACTGGTTCTTGGGTTTTTAACATGCATCCTTTTGATCAGTCTGGCACGTGTTGACATTTTTCCAGTTTTTATGTATGTATCTGTGTGTGGATATGTTTAATGTGCATAAGTGGTATTGTGCTCTGTGTTTCACTTTGTCTTTTTCCTTTTTTTCAAAGCAGGTTTGTATTTGAGATTTACCCATGTTGTTACATATAATCTAGTTACTTATTTCTGACTGATACATAATATTCTATCATATACTGTATTTTACTTATCTGTTCCCTAGTGATTTCTTCTGTCTCTTTGCTTTGCTTTCACAAGCAACACTGCAAAGAATATATTCTTTTCCCTTGAAAGGACTGTGGAAGAGTTTCTCTGGAATGTATGCTGAAGAATTGGCTTGGTATGTTATTGTAGACTTACATTTTTTAGGTCCTGCCTACCATTCTGAAGAATAACTAAGTTTATCCTTCTGCTACCAGTGTGTGAAAAAGTAACTGTTTCACTGTATCCATATCACTTGGTATTATCCAACTTTCTAATTTTTGTCTACTTGATGGGTGTAAACTAGTATGTCAAAATGTTAATATACATTTATATTTAAATGTTTAATATACATTTATCTGTTTACAGTGAGAGTGACCATTTTTTCATTTATCTACTTTTCATATTTTCCCTTCTACGAATTGCATATTCATGTTCTTTGTCCATTTGCTATTAGGGTTCTTTATCTTGCTGTAGGAGTTCCTTGTATACTTAAGAGAGGACTTATTTGTTGTAGTCTTTTTAAAAATACCTTCTCCTAGTTTATTATCTACAGTATTTTAAAAAAAATTTTATTGAAGTGTCGTTGACTTAAAATGTTGTGTTAGTATCAGATGTACAGCAAAGTGAATCAGTTATGCCTATATATATCTCACTCTTTTTTAGATTCTTTTCACATATAGTTCAAGTATTGAAAAGAGTTCCCTGTGCTATACAGTACTCTTATGTATCAGTCAGTCATTTCAGTTCAGTCGCTCAGTCTTGTCCGACTCTGCGACCCCATGAATTGCAGCACGCCAGGCCTCCCTGTCCATCACAAACTCCCGGAGTTTACTCAAACTCATGTCCATCAAGTCGGTGATGCCATCCAGTCATTTCATCCTCTGTTGTCCCCTTCTCCTCCTGCCCCCAATCCCTCCCAGCATCAGGGTCTTTTCCAACGAGTCAACTTTTTGCATGAGGTGGCCAAAGTATTGGAGTTTCAGTTTCAGCATCAGTCCTTCCAATGAACTCCCAGGACTGATCTCTTTAGGATGGGCTGTATATGTCAGTCCAAATCTCCCAATTTATCCCTTTTTCTTCCCCCTGGTAACCATAAGTTTGTTTCCTACATCTGTGACTCTATTTCTGTGTTGTAAATAAGTTCATTTGTACCTTTTTTTTTTAGATTCCATATTTAAGTGATATCATATGATATGTTTTCTCTGTCTGACTTCATTCAGTATGACAGCTTTAGGTCCATACATTTTGCTGCAAATGTCATTATTTTGGCTTTTTGGTGGCTGAATAATATTCCATTGCATATATGTACCACATCTTCTTGATCCATTCCTCTGTCAAAGGACATTTAGATTGCTTCCATCATAGTATCTTTTACTGAAACAGAATCCTTCATTAAAAAGAATTATTCATTTGGTTGCATTGGGTCTTAGTTGCAGCACCTGGGATCTTTGCATCATAAGGGATCTTTGCTTGCAGCACGTGGACCCTCTAGTTTGGTGCTTGGGCTCGGTAGTTGTGGCATGCAGTCTCTCTAGTTGTGCCACATGGGCTGCAAAGCGCATAGGCTCAGTAGTTGCAGCACGGGGCTAGTTGTTCTGGAACATGTGGTCTTAGATCCCTGATCAAGGATAGAACATTTCGATATGTTTAAATCTTTTATTTTAATAGTGGTCAGATCTACCATTTATAGATGACAACTCCCTCCCTTTTTTGGTCTTCTTTTAAAAGATATCCTTTCCTACTTTGAGAATACAAATATAGTCTACATTTTCTTTATTATTTTAGCCTTCACCTTTAGAAGGCAGGGATCCAACCTAATTTTTCTCCATTTAGTTATCTTATTTAGGGTTTTTCTATGTATGCCTATAAATGAAATTTGCCTATAATTTTCTTATGCTCTTCCTGTTCAGTGGCCACCATGGTTCTGGTTTTAAAATAAGTTGGATAGCTTTCTCTTTTGCTGTTTTGTGGAACAGTTGTTAAAAGATAGGTATTATCTGTTCCTTAAACACTTGGTAGAACTCAACTGTAAAATTATCTCAGGTTATGCTTTTTGTCCCCAGAGGATAGTGGAGAACAGGAGTTATTCACCATTTCAGTTTTTCTAATGGTTATAGTCTATTCAAGTTTTTTGTTGTTGTATCAGTTTGATTTTTTTAAAAAAATAGTAAAGGTTTATTATCACTCACAGTTTCTGCCAGTCAGGAATTTGGTAGTGGTTTAGCTTGGTGGTTCTGGCTCAGGGTCTCTCATGAGGTTGAAGTCAAGATCAGTCAGAGCTGAAGGTTTGATTGGGGCCTGAGGATTTGCTTTACCAGCCATGTGATTTGCTCAGTCGCATGGCCAGCAGGTTGGCTTTGGTTGTTAGTGGGAGGCTTGAGTTCTTATCTGTGTGGGCCATTCCATAAAACTACCTGCTTGAGTATCCTTGGCAGCATGTCACCTGGCTGCAGTGTGTCAGCAGTCCCAAGAGAAAGAGCTGGCAAGAAGCTATCCTTTTTATGACTTAACCTTGGAAGTCAGAGAACATGGCTTCTGCCATATTCTGTCTGTTGGAAGAGAGTCACTAAGTCCAGCCCACATTCACAACGAATTTTGACATTCTTTAAAATCACCAAAATATGTATGACAAACTCATGGATCTTCTCATATTTTGAGATGATTATATGCTTTTATTGCCTTTAATATGTTAATATAGTTTATATTGTTAGGTTTTCAAATGTATAAGCATGCTTACATTTGGAATAAATCCATCTTAGTTATGAGAAAATACTTTTCTTACATAGCACTTACATTTTATTTAGGAATTCATCTATAACTCAGAGTCAGGCCTATAGCTTTTTTCCTTTTACTATATTTTGTCTGGTTTTATTATAATGATTATAGTAATCTCATTAAGTGAGTTGTGTAGTTTTCCACCTTCTGTTCTCTCACAAATATCTAAAGATCTTTCCAGTATTTATTTGAAATTAGGCCTGGAGAATAAAGGATACAGGCGAAAGCATTGGCTGTCAAACTTTCTGGATAGTAACAATTAAAATAGTTTCTGTATCATAACCTGGATGGATACTTGTTTTTCTTTTCACTAC